AATTTCGGATTTCAATTTCAAAAATCAAAATCGATTTCGTAAATCAAAATTTGGGTGATAACATAATCTGGAAAAATTATGTATCCTGATATACGAAAATATCTTTATAATCCGTATATAATGTCATTAAAATCAGTTTGGCTCTGATACCACTGTTAGGAAATTGATGTAACGTACCTCAAAAGTACAGCAGCGGAAGTTTAAAATTTTTCAAAACAGATCTTTCCTGATTATGACAAAAGAACGAATATAACAATAATAACAGATCTGGGTTAGAACTTACAGATCTTCCAGCCTAGCGGTGATAATCTTTGACCTTAGGTATCCACGTGATTTCTCCTTTCCGAAAGAACAGTTAGATCTCCCTTAGAGAAAGGCTAGGAAATCTCTTCGCAGAGAAATAAACTGTAAATACTGAATCTCAAAACTGGTCTAATAAATTACGAAAGAGGATGATGTATTTATACTAGTTCTAAACTAGTTTCCCAATCACAATGAAAGTCTTCCTAATTAACGAGTTCTAGTCCAACTATAACCAATACAATTTATTAACTAAATAAAGATTTAATAATAAATAATAATAACAATAATAATAAAACATCCGTGTAAAGTAAAGAGGATGGGGGGCAGCCGCCACCCTCATTCTCTTAATGGACCTTTGTTGTTATTATTATTTATTTAACTTTATTTAATTATAAATACATTTAATTAAGTATAATAAATCTAATTTATTCTACTTAATTAATTCTATCAAATAGAACTCTCCTTCAACTTTATGAATTAAATACAATTTAGTCTGACTAATATTTAATCCACTTTTAGTATTACGAATTAAATATTATTTAATCCAATTAATAATATTTAATTCGTTCTAACAATTCAATCGGAAGGTATAATCAGTTGTTGTGTGACCCATAGGGCCTTATATATTGAGCACTAATCAAATTAAGGTCTTAGCAGAATCCCTAGACGATTTACCAGACAAACTTAATATATAAGGACGTTTGCGAGAACTATTCAAACTCCCTGTAATATAGAGCTCATAGTGATACGATCCTTTCATTCAACGAACATTCAACTAAGTCTAGAACATGATATTGTGTCTATTCTAATAACTTAGTCTCTGTCTCTCAATCTTTCTAGATGATCCATAATGATCATATTCGATATCCAAAACGAATATATCTTTGCATTGGCCAATGACTTTATGATCCATCTAAATATTAGTACTAACACTACCTACCTACCTACCTACCTACCTACCTACCTACCTACCTATCTATCTATCTATCTAGATTTCTATTGATAATTACTACGTAGCATTTTATAGTGATATATGAAGAAAAAATAATAAATGTTCAAAAATTATATACATGATTGAGTATAATTTTTACTATATTCAATATATACAATTTTTAAATGTATAAAAAGTTCAAATATAAAATGATACTCCGTATATTGTTACTTTTTATTACTCCGTATGAGATTGGATGTATAACATGTTTATTAAAGTGATTTTTTAAATCTATTCAATTTTTTTTTGCAAAAAAAAAAAAAAAATCATCTAAAAAACTTCCGCTTTTTCATGCCTTTGGTGGTCAACTCTTCAGTTGACCACCTTTGTCACACATGTCTAAAATGAAGGGTGTTTTCCCGCCACCTCACGCTTAGGCGCGCGTAGGCCCCATTTTTTGCCGCCTTTTACAACACTAACTAGAAGATATGAAATCAAGTCAGAATAATGATGTTTTCACTTGTACTTATTTCATTATGGAACCACATAGGAAAAAATATACACATACACAAAACATTTTAGGCCGGATTTAAACAAACTAGATGTAAATAGACTAGATCAAATCAAACTATAGCATGAATTTCAATCCAAGTGATAACATCTTTAGATCTTAGATAATGGTGAGAAACAAATAAGTAACACTACTAAAAAAAACAGCCTATAGTGACACAAAGTTAGTGTCAATTAAAGTTTCATTGACACATGGTAAACGTCACAAAAGGTCAAAAATTATCACATGAAATTTAGTGTCACAGGTAGAGTATCATAAAATATTATGATAAACTATTATCACAAAATATTTTGATATGTTAGTATCAACTAAGTGCTTCCTCTGTTCTTTTTTAGTTGCAACTTTCCAACTTTCACGTTTGCCATCACACAAATTTGACCATTAATTTATTTCATTCCTTATTAGTAAACAATTCAAAAATTCAGCTTTTGAAAATTTAAAATGAAAGGAATTTAATCATATTTTTCAAAAATTTAATTTATAATACATTAATAAATATAATGTGGTCAAAGTAGAGCATGTGAATAGTATAAAATTCACCAATGTTGCGATTTAAGAAGAACAGAGATAGTATATCAATTGGTATCACCTATTGTTGAATATATATGATACATTGGTATCACATTTTGTTGAATATATACATTTTTGGCTCAACATGATCTGATCTTATAATAAGTATAGATTAGTTGAAAATTATTTAAATATCAGAAGTTGAAAAACCTGAATGGGATGACCTTATATTATTTTCAATACTACCAGTTATATGTACAGAATAGGAAAAGAGATACAAAATTATGGGGAGAGCCCTATAGATAGAGTAATTACATCCATGCATTCCATGACCTACCAGAAAGCACATTACTGCTTAATCTGGTGTTTGGGTGATTTCATTTGGAGGAAGAGATAGCCTATTCTGCATCAGCTATTTGGCTGGAACCATGACTTTTGAGGAGCCTCAAGAATGTGGCTGGGCCAATTTTATTAATGGATATACTGCCACCTCTGGCATAGAAGAGAATATATTCTCCATTGAATGAATGTATTTTAGAGGTTACCCATAATCAGGACTAAGATGCTCGACCCTCTCCTCTGGGCATTTTTTTTGATGCATGGTCTTCAACGTCCTTCAACTGATAGTAGTGAGGAGCTATTTCTACCAACCATTCAGGCTTTACTTCAGTAACCTGTCGCATGTACTCTTTGGTTGTATGAACAAGCTCATGATAGACAACACATCTAGGAAGAACCTGTGCTAGACCTGAACTGGGATGGATATGAACAGTTAAGGGAAGCTTAACAGTTTCATAACTTCCATTCTTTTGCAGCCTTGCTGAGTGAGGAAAAAATCCAGATGTAATGGACTTCTTTATAGCATCTAGATCATTGAGATTTGAAGTCAATTCAATTTCTACTCTTTCTAGAAGGCTCTCTAATTGGTCTCTGATGTCTCTAGCTCTTTTCATGCTTCTGACCTGAATGTAGTTCTCATAGCACCACTGGGTTGAAAAGTTAGTTTCTTTCCATGAATTGTAAACCTTCAGTAATGCAACATGATCTCCAACATTGCCCATATGGAAATTCAACCTTGCATTGTCAGCATGCACTTGTTTGTCCTTTGGACGATAAAAGATCAAATTTCCAATAGACAGCATTGCTGCAATACTTATGATCTCATCAGAGCATTTATACTTGTCAGAAGCAACAATCATCTTGGAGAGCATGGGGTCAAGAGGGAACTCGGCCATTCTTCTGCCAACTTTAGTCAGTTCACCATGCTTACTAAGAGCACTTAGAGCAAAGAGCACTTCCAGTGCTTTTAGTAGAGCTTCAATAGGTGGTGGATCCATAAAATGAAAGTTCAGCAAGTCATGAATGCCCAGACTCTTAAGAGAAAGCACAACATTAGCCAAGTTGGTCCTTTGAATCTCTGGAACAGTATTATCCTCCAAATCATTTAAAAAGTTATAAGCAGTGTACAGCCGGAAACACTTCCCAGGCCCTGTTCGTCCAGAACGGCCAGCCCGTTGGTTAGCAGATGCTTTTGAAATAGGAGAGATATGTAATGATTCCATGCCGGAACGAGGGTTATATGTCTTCACCTTACAAAATCCAGGATCAATTACGTATTTTATCCCATCAATAGTCAGCGAAGTCTCGGCAATATTTGTAGCAAGGACAACCTTGTGTGCCCTTTCAGGAGTAGCTTCAAAAATTTTGGCTTGTAGTTCTGTTGGAAGGTTTGCATATATTGGGCATATAATTAGCTCGGCTATTTTTGTTCCCAGGCCCTTGATCCTAAGTTTAATGATCTCCTCAGCTGTCTCAATCTCCTCCTGCCCAGTTAAAAAAACTAATATATCACCATCACCGGGGGGTTGTGTCGCATGTATCTGAAGGGCAGTAACAATTGCTGCATCCAAATAATTTGCCTCGGGCGCTATCGTATAATGTATATCCACTGGAAACCGCCTTCCAGGTATTTTAAAAATGGGAGCTTCATCAAAAAAGTCACTGAACTTCTCGGCATCAAGGGTAGCACTTGATATCAGCAACTTGAGGTCACGACGGAAACAGGCAATATCCTTAACCAAGCCAAAAAGAATATCAGTTGATAATGTTCTTTCGTGTGCCTCATCCACCATGATTACACTGTAACTTGCCAAATCAGGTTCCCCAAGGAACTCACGCAATAACATCCCATCAGTCATATATTTTAGAATGGTTTTCTCTGAAGTACAATTTTCAAACCTGATTGAGTAGCCCACCTCATGTCCAAGTTTGACTCCCATTTCTTGTGAAACACGGGCAGAAACACTCATGGCAGCAACTCGGCGTGGCTGCGTACATCCCACCTTGCCACTTTTGGTGTACCCTGCCTCATGCAAGTACTGAGGTATCTGAGTAGTCTTGCCAGAACCTGTCTCTCCGACAATGACTAGAACCTGGTGCTTATCGATAGCTTGCACCAACTCATCACGATAAGGATAGATAGGCAAAGTTTTTCTGTCTGCTTGCAGTTTCTCAAATGCTGATTTAGCAACAGAAACTTCTAGTTCCTCAATGGAGGACTCATGATCAACATTAACGCCATCCATAACTGCTGCTTTTATGAACTCTATCTGGTCTTCAAACACAAATTGGTAATCATCAGATTTTGCCTTGCGGTCTTTGGAACCAAATTTGAGTGTAGCTTTTCCTATTTGGTGATCTTCCCATGCTTCTTGTTCCGCAAAAGGGTTCATCTTATCATTGGCATCACGATCCCTGTAGCGTTGCAGTGCAACAGCAAACCTTTGCTCTTGATTTACACCGCCTTCAAGATCATATGCATCGGGAATCCTATACTCATTTTTGCCATCATCCTCCTCGGCCCGCTTCTTGATTAGATCATATAACTCCCTCTTGCACCTCATGTCCTTATATTCTGCTTCAGTTAGCTTCATCCCATCAAATAAGTACTGCTCATCTTCTATCTCATCTCTGAGTTCATCTAATTTCTTTTGCTCTCTTTTCTTAAGATACTCTTGCCTTGAGACTTTCCTCAAAGTTCCAATCTCATCTTGCTCCAAAGCATTAGACCTCCTGATTGCCTCTTCTTCCTCCTTTCTGGACAACTTTTTATCAGTCAACTTTCTTGTTGATGCAGCATCTCTTTCTCTGATATGTCTCTCCAACTCTTCCCGCTCTTTTTTATCACACAGTCTTTCCTCCTCTGACTCAGAACCACTATCACCACCATTATCCTGACCATCATCATTGGAAGTTCGTCTCCTTACTTGTCTTTCCTCTTCTACTTCTCTTATCTCTTCTTCATCTTCAAAAGCTTCAGAAACCACCCTCCTTCTAAATCTCTTTCCATGGCCCTTCCTCCCAGCTTCTGAAGACACATGAGCATTGCTACTAACATCAGCATCATCATCACCACCCTCCTCTATTATTGTGTAGGTCTTTTGTTTCCTTGCAAACATCGCTGCCTCCCTTTCTTTATGTTGATATAGATTTGGCCCTGAAGCCTTGTGCTCAACTCTAGACAAAATTTCTTGTGCAAAATCCTTTGACTCATAGGTTGATGGTACTCCCACTTCACTGAGCATGCTAGAAAGCTCGTTAGGAGAGGAAGCTTTCTTAGCTAAGCCAATTACATAATTCACAAGTGTGCTTTGGGAATAACCCAAAACCGATATGAGAGTATCTGATACCCACTTTTTCAAATCACTTCCCATTGTGCTGCACAGCTTATGTAGTTCAATGACGCAACAGCTGAGTAAAAGCTTTCCTTTTTATCCTACTTTATCTGTATGGATTAGGCTTGAAGACGCACCCAAATTGGGAAGATGGTCTGAAGTGCGGAGCTCCAAAGGGATGAAAAAAGTAGAAACGAAGCAGAGTCCTGAAACAAATCTGACCTTATATAAGAAGTCGCCGAGCGTAGCAGATGACACCGGAGTCCAAGACGGCCGGGTCACCATCCGGCGCCTGGTAGCCGGGAGATGAAATATGTCGCTTCGCGAGGAGATGAAGCTGATTCGCGAGAAGGGGTTTGGCGCAGTAGATGGAACTTGGTTTTGATTTCGTTTTTGAGGAACCTAAATGCGCCTGTTCTGCACGGCGTTTTACGAGCGGAACAAATTGTCCAATTTTTAATTGTACGGGACACCGACAAGTTTTGCGTTTGTTTGCTTCTTTGCTAAGACATTGCTTTTTTGCCAAGACAAATGACTTTCTTAAAACGTCATACATTATTCAAACACTAAATTTCGAACATATAAAATACTCCCTTATGGAGGAAAGTTAGGAAAGTGGGAACTTAATTAGGGGAGAAAGTGAGAACTTAATTACGGGATAGAGGAAGTACAAAGTATCACTATTGCTACCTTTTTGAAGCCAAAAATCCAGCCCATTTTATGGGTGTAATTGGAAATCTTGATGCATTAAATCATGCAAAATATATCTTGCTAGAAATTTAGAATGAGGCTATACGTGAGTGGTGCCACCACTTTTAATTTAGTCTTTTGTCCATAAATAAATGCAATCATAAATGTATTCCAATATTTCAATTCTGTCGTGATTAAAATTATTCCATATATAATAGTTACCCATATTTATGGAAGTTATAATATATGTAGTATAATGTGTATAATCGTGATTAAACTTCCATTACATTCCACAATTATGAAATTACACATAAATTCCTACTCAAAATGTTTCGAAACCTTACATTAAAAAATTTACATTTTTATGAATTTTATTTCAAAAAGCACAATCATACATCATTCCTAATAATAAATTCGATTTTAAATTTAACAACCGTATAATTAACGAGACTCTATAACGTAAAATCAGTTGTATCGTGCACACAGTGCAATTGTGTATTTTATAAAACTTCATTTAGTGACTTCTATTTTCGACTTATTAACTTTTGTACCTAAATTTTCATCAAACATGTAACTTTTAATTTTACACTGAGTAAGGCTGTGGTTACTTTTCTGATTGAATTAGCTGAAATTATTCTAAGGGATCATTTTAACTGAATTTCATATAATTTTTTCATTACTTTATTAATAAATATATTTTAAGTATTCTTTTAATAGTTAGGCATATTCAGCTACTTGAACCAGAACTTTATCAATTTCAGCAGAAGCAGCCGATTCGACCAATTTTTATGTTACCATACAAGCTCTAAATAGGAACAACATTCCACAATTTTACGCAATTAAAAATAAGACACACTTTAATTTTGATTGCTTTGAATATTAAGATGTATAATTTTTCTATATTTCATGATAGTCATTATATTTATTATTAAGATAGAGTTTTTTCCCACCCAATGAAAGAAGTAATGGTGTTACATATGATATGACATACATTTTGAAACTTTACTGTCATTAACTTATTTAACAAGCATAGGGAACAGTTATCATATGATATTGTGGTACTATTATTCGTCTTATTGGATATCATGATTCCTATCAAATTGTTGATTGTTGATTGTTATCTATTCAGTATTGGTGTTATAATTTGTTCATTAATTTTGCTAGACAATAATTGTCAATTTTAATTAAATTTATAAGTTCAATCTGTAACACCGCCCCCAAGTAATTGTACTTTATCAAATAGTGTATTGAATCCTGAGAAATGAATAAACGCATTCTACGCGATTGTAAAATTTTCATCATTTCTTTTACGTGAATAGAAAAAGTTCGCGTGGGGCCTACACCGGAAGTGGGGGCCGCCCGATATTATCGGGGCCACATATTATATTCATTTGGGTCAAGATAATATGTGTATGATGGTGGATAGCCTGGTTGGGCCATAGAAGTTATGTGAGTAACCTTTTGGGCATATAAAGCCCATTTATCGGTACCGAGGTAATATCAGATAAAAAGCCATAATAAATTATGGAGGCCATCAAATTAAAAGTTGGGGAAAAGGCATTCATTCTTATAGCCAATAATAATTGGAAGAATGATAGATATTTCATTTTACCCAAATAAAATGAAATATAGTTGAAACAGTCCGGAAAATACAACTTTCGGGGCCGATTGTACATCTCGGGTCACAAAGGGACGACCTCCCACATATGTGGGGGCCACCCCACGTCCTTGGTCTGCAAAATATCAAGGGGGAGCCGCACAAAGTCATGTGGAAAGAGGGAGGGTGTGACTTGATACCAAGTTGAAGGGAAAAGGGGTCCCCTCCCCCATATTATTGGCAAATAAGCCAAAAGGGGCATTCACAATCACCCCAGCTCTTGTACCTCGTCCAAGCCAGCTTCATTGAGGAGAGAAGTCTGGAAAAACTCCATTTTCATCCACCATTCACGCACAAAGCAAGGGGAGGAAGAAGGGAAGGAAAAGAGAAGAGAAAAGAGGAGTTTAGGTGGGGAAAACTTGTGGTTATCAAGGTAATGACTCCATTAACCCCATTCCTTCTCCTTAATCATGTTTCATACTCCTAGGATAGTTCTACACATGTAAAGGTGTAGAATAGGAGTTGGAAAGTTGGTCTAAACCCAAAAACGAGCTTTGAGAGCAAAGTTGACGGGTTTGCCGGAAAATAACCTTTTAGAGGTTATTGGTGTTGACATGGGTTTTATGATGATAAAACCTTGTTATTAACTTGTATAAGGTATTCCAAGAACTTTCACGGAGTTGAAAGGGTCGCCGGAGTTGTCGCCGGAGCTCATTGAAGTTCACCGGAGTTTCACCGGAGCTCAATCGGGAAGGGCTAGAACTCCATAAGCTTCATTAAGGTGAGAAGACGGCTATATGCTTTATAACTTTTGATTGAGGCATGAGATTACCTAAAGTAATCAAGGATATGTTTTACGGAATGATTAAAGTTAATCAAGTATGGGCTTATGCCATGAATATATATAAAACAAAGTTGAAAGGCATGTTTGTATGTTTGGTGATTAAAAATGTGATAACTTATTATGTACAATGATCCAGGGGTCAAAAATGGTATTTTTGGATCAAGGACTTCAAGTAGAATGTGCATATAAAATTTCACGTTAATCGGACTTCGTTTGGGCGGTCAAACGGGCGTTGACCGCCGAGACAAGGGTGATACCCGACCGGGTAAGATGGATACCCGACCGGGTATTGATTAAATTCGGCTCCAGAAGCCACTGTCACACTAGACCCGACCGGGTAAGGTCAGGGACCCGACCGGGTCTCAAGTAAAGTCAGTTCCAGGGGCTTCTGCCCGGCCCTACCCGACCGGGTAAGGTGGATACCCGACCGGGTATTGGTTTATACTCAAAACGGGTAGCTTTTGAGTAGGATAACGTGGACCGATCAGGTGGGACCCGTCCACATTGGTTACTAAGGATTATTATATGACTATAGGACTAGGTATTGTCCATAGTTAAGTGAATGCAAGGTTAGCCATATCCAGGTTAGGGTTTGGTTAGAAATACGGTTGAGGTTGAGCATCCTCGGGACGGTAAACAATCCCAGAAACTCGGTGGGGTTGAGTATCCTCGGGACGGTAAACAATCCCAGAAACTCGGTGAGGTTGAGTATCCTCGGGACGGTAAACAATCCCAGAAACTCGGTGAGGTTGAGTATCCTCGGGACGGTAAACAATCCCAGAAACTCGGTGAGGTTGAGTATCCTCGGGACGGTAAACAATCCCAGAAACTCGGTGAGGTTGAGTATCCTCGGGACGGTAAACAATCCCAGAAACTCGGTGAGGTTGAGTATCCTCGGGACGGTAAACAATCCCAGAAACTCGGTGGGGTTGAGCATCCCCGGGAGGGTAAACACTCCTGAAACTCGGTAGGATATTATGAAGGTAGAATGTAGCCCGAGGCTAGGCATTCAGGAATGAATGGGAAAGGTTGGGTAATCGCCATACCTCTAAAAGACTCTTTGTGATAAAACGACCTACGGGTCAAGTATTTTACAAGTATATACAATATGTATTATCTTGGGAATGGGGTAACAATGGTTACACCTATAAATATAAGTATCACCCTATTTTTGGGTCTCGTGTCTGAAACATTAGTTATTCCTCATATAGCCTGCTTGTCACTAGTACTTCTATGGAGTACTGACCCCTTCGGGGGCCCTCACATTTTTCAGGTTGAGGCTAGAGTCCTGCTACCTGCACCTTTGCCCAGGGTGAATTCAAATAAGGAAGACGTGGTTCGTGCTTCCATTCTTATTTGA